TTTCTCTTGTTTTTATCTTATCTGGCCTTGAATACTCTGACACCATTCCTTTTTTAAACTGTATTTATGAGAAGTCTCCCTGGCTTCTATTAGCTACATTGCAATCACTCATTTATAATACCACCTTTCAGAGCAGTTAAAATTAGAATTCTGAGATCCTCAGGGGACTGGTAATATAAAAAGGCTAGAACAGGGAAACACATTGTACTACTCATCCTGAGTTCTTGATTAGATGTCCTCATTACCTCTTCCAATTAAATTCTAAAATAACCAAAATTTATCACATCAGTACATGAAACGACAGTACAGGTAAAATTCTCATGTATTATCTACAAGTGCAGAAATCAGGAAAGCTGTTTCTATAAAACATTTTCAAGGTTCAAAATGAACGTTTTAGGTTTTTCCTCACATGTCTCCTCTTTTAAAACCAATCTGTAAATAAAAATACTGCTTTCTGCAGACTGAGACTTTTTATACACTCATTATATTTGAAAATTGAACAACGAGAAAGTAATTTCTATTCATTTTAAAAGAAGAGAAGCAAAGCACAGAAGAGAAAACCATTCTAGCTATACCTGAACTTTATTAACCTAAAGGTATCAAAAAATGTTACTTATATTGGGGTGCCTCCGTGGCTCAGTGGGTTAAAGCCTCTGCCTTCAGCTCAGGTCATGATCTCATGGTCCTGGGATCGAGCCCCGCATCGAGCCCCGCATCGAGCCCCGCATCGGGCTCTCTGCTCAGCAGGGAACCTGCTTCCCTTCCTCTCTCTCTCTGCCTGCTTGTGATCTCTGTCTGTCAAATAAATATATAAAATCTTTTAAAAAATGATACTTATACATTTCTAATAAGTGATTTTCCTTATCAGGAAACAATGACTTCATATGGTTTACCTTTAAGTGAAATTACAGAGAAATGAAAAGTTCAGCTACTATTTTCTTCTATCAAAATGATAAATGGCATGTGAAGTATGGTCTAGGGAAGACAGATGCAAATACAGTACAGCATCATATTAACCCAACTACCGAGGACAGGGGATCACAGGATTATCAGGGTTTGCTAAATACGGAAGAGGATATTTATAGATATCAGAGTTCTGCCTGAAAGGTACAAAGTAAGCGGATTTAAGAGGCTGAAGGAAAGAGAACAGAGTAAGTCTATGTTTCTAAACATAAGAGTCCATACTTTGTTTTAAATGTCAAATGAAGGGAGATAGCCATTAGAGGTTAATTTTATTATGGGGCTGAGTTTTGCAGTATAAATACAAGGAAACAAATTTTTAAAGTGCATTTTTGGTTCAAATACCCAGTCATTCATTCCCTCACTCACATTAAATATCCACAATATGCCCCAAGTACAACAGTGAGCAAAAGAGACATGATTTCTGTGTAGGATTTGCACTCCTTTGACATTAAAGGTGATTTAAGAAATCAGAGCTTTAGTTAATTGTATAAAGTCTATCATCAGCATGTGTGCATATAAGTTATCTGCACCCTGGTGGACAGAAGTGGTCTGACTCAGTCATAAAATATCTAAACAAACTTTCTACAGGCAAATTATGAATAGATGTGCTATTGACTACAGATATTTTATCTGCCCCCAAATCAGCTTCAACTCAACTACTGGCAGAGGCAAGGTGCCCTGACCTGAAATGATACAAACTAGGTCATTAAGAGAAACTGGGGTGGTAGAGGGTGAGAGAGGAATGTGATGGTGGATGGAAAGTGTATGTGGCCTTGAGGAGCAGTTAGAATTTAAATATTAAGTAATCCGACTGTCAAGAACATGCACTCCCCATAACTAGCTTAAATGGAACTGACTTCCATGTATCTTTACCTCTTTAACAAAAAAATTATGCTGCTAAGGGAGCCCTTATTAACTTCAGGAACTCCTATAGTTTTGATAGGGAGAACCTCACCCAAGGTTCTTCTTTCTCCTCATCTCTCTACTGAATAAATACAATGTTTCCTGAGCGGGGCAACACATGGGCATTTCCTCAGGAAGAGTGGGCTCCCACCTCACCAGAGTCCTAATTAAAAACATTGGGGGTTGGGAGGTGCCTGGCAGGCTGAGTGACTCTTGATCTCTGGGTCATGAGTTCAAGCCCCACATTGTGGGTAGAGATTACTTAAAAAACAAAAACAAAAACAAAACCAAAAAAACCATTATGGGTTTTGGAATTTTATACACTTAAATTCATCTTTCTTACATGCGTAACCCTTGGCACCTAGAAAACAGGAACCGGGAACAATATTTGTATCTTAAGAAAAAATGCTATGAAGATTAAGTGAGACGAGGAATGTAAAGCATAGTGCATAGTACACACTCAAAGGCATAGTTGTGTTTTTTTTTTTTGAAATTTTCACTGACCATTTTCTGACCCCAAAACACAATTTTAGGAACAATCTTCTAATGCTGAACATGCTTGCTAACTACTGCTAGGTTCATATATGTAGAAAGTACTCCATAAATAATTTCTGAATGAAGGAGTCATCTGTTAAATAGTAATGACTTAATGCACTAACATTACCGTTATCTTAGTATTTCACTAAAAACTTGATATCAAAAGGCAGGGCTAAAATAGCTGACCAAAAGTTCAGAGAAAACATCTGGGCTTTTAAATAAGAAATAAAATGTATTAGTCATAGCTGAAGTTGTTTAAAAAGCAGAAGCAAAAACCTGGGACTCAGTCTCCAATTGTACAGTTATCACAGGGATGGGTGGGATACCAGATGTGACACACTTAATCACACCACTGATGGTTTAAATTCTATGTTCCACTTTCAGTTCTAAGAATAGCTCACACTTTTGGAGATTTAAAAAAAAAAGAAAAAAAGATGTATTTGGGAAACCAGATAAAGAATCCAGAATGATTTGCCCTAATTTCATATTGTTCATTTTAGGAAAAAAGAAAAAGCAAAAAACAAAAACAAAATCTGTCTTGATCAATGAACACAACAGTTGTATACAATAGTGCTGCAGCACTGTCAACTGGCTATCTACAGTGTCAATTTGCACTGGACACATGAGCAGTGGTTAATTTATTGTGGCCTGTAATTATAAATTAAGCAATCATGAAATTACACAGTCCACTTAATTGATAACAAACTGGGAAAAGTTAGCTAACTCTCATGCGTTTCTCATTTATGATGACATCTCATTCTCTGTTGGTTTGGCATGCCTTTTTCATTCCAATTCTAGTTATTTTCTGTGTAAATATTTATGTTTGTACTCATTTGTTGAGAAAAATCTAGCCTTTAAATGGACAGCTCATGTATAAATGATTAATAAAAAGAAAACATGTAAAAATCTGTCTAGCCTGAGGTTAATAAAACTGCAATGTAGCAAGTGTGAAATGTGATTGGCAACTTCAGATCAAATAATTCTACTTCTTTAACAATCTGACAATGTAAAATCAATTCTTTTTCCTATCAAAATTTACTCACTGGATAATTTGACCAAAGGTGCATGCATTTTTTTCCCCCTTGCAGACATCTAGTCTTTTCTTCATAAATTAATGGAGGTTGGACATTTCTAAAAGTCAAAAGGGACCGCGGGGTGGGGAAGTAACTGTAAGTTTGAGTGCCTGGCTCTGTGCAGCTGGTAAGCCAACTAACCTATTCTAAACGCCTCAAAGTCAATTTTGCTTTGACTTGCTCTAAAACTACTTAATTCCATGTCAATACCCTCCAACTAACTGCACAGAAATCAACAAGAAACAGCGTGTCAACGGTCAAATGTTTCACACATTATAATTCACAATTTGGGGAAGCTTTAAGTCTGACAGAGAAAACCCAGTTGATAGCCACTCCAGCTTTAAAGTCCCATTCTTTTTAGTTTGGAGATCCCAAGGTGAGATTAAGAGCTTTGTTTCTGGTGTGGTCATATGTAAAAGGTTGCAACAGGTTTGAAATCAAATACTAAGGACCGTGCAGCAAATTTGCCTCCTTCAGTATGGATTAAATATTGAAGGGAAAACAGGTCAGCATCATCAACCAGACTTTACAGAACTCTCAGCAAATAACTCGTTGCTGCAGAAGTGAGCCTGCTACGCAGACACCAAGACGGCGTAAAATCCACCAGGCACCCAGTGCAAGCGGTACCTCTTTGTGTCCTGGGATTTACACCCCTCCCCCCGGAGGCAGGCGCATCTCGAGGAAGAGGAGAGCTAGGCTATCATCTCCCCGGCATGCACCTCTCCCATGCATGCACCTTTGGTCAAATTATCCAAAGACAGTAGCCCTGACCCTTCTCCCCGCTTCTGGCGTGACCCCGGTGGACCCACTTTCCAGCGGTACGGGAAGGCCGATTCCCTAGGACGATCTAAGCCTGCATGCGGAGGCTGCTTTCCGCAGCTACTCGGATCCGCCCTCGCCTCAGTCCCTAGTAATGATGGAGCCCCAGCTCTGTACCCGGATAGCCACGCAACCTTCCAGCCCTTTTCCCTAGCTTCGGACCCGCTGCAAGCCCCGCCTTCCTCCCCAGGCCCAGGTCTCCTTCCAAGGGCCCACCTTCCGGGCTCCCCGCTGCCCCCCGAAACCAATCCAGAACCCAGACAGCAGGCTGAGCGCCGTCCCATTCCCTCTTTGGCTTCAAGCGCAGTGCTCCGCCCTGGGCCTGAGGACGGGAGGGGGGTGACTGGCCATCTCCAGAGGGGCCCGGGCCCCCACACTCACCATCCTCCCGCCGAGTCCCTCCTCCTCCTCCTGCCTCCCGGTTACCAGGGGCAACTGCTGCGGCACCGCCCCCGACGTCCCTCGCACGCTCAGCGGAGGAGCAAAGCGGCCGTACGGGGCGGGGTCCAGCTCCGCTTTTCCCAAAGTGCGCAAGCGCGCCAAAGTGCCCGCCCACGCGCAGGCGGGCTGCTGGAACCACTGGAGCCGGCTGCCGGCTGGTGGAGACCCAGCGAATGGTTAAAGCTCGCCCACGTGGCTGGTGGGCGCCGCCCAGCCTGTGATTGGTTGGGAAGGAGCAGGGAGGGGGCGGGGTGAGGGGCGGTTCCCGGGCGGAGGCCGCGGGTTAGTACTGCTCGGGCTTCCAACGCAGTGTACTTCTTTTGGCAGTTGTCTCAGTGCATTCTTCCCGGGACCAGGTAAGGGGTCTTGGGAGGAGGCCGCCTGCCACACCTTCCTGTAGACCGCACATCCCAGGGAGGAGCTTGGATTTGTGTCCTGACTGCCCAGGCAGGGCTGCTGCGGGGGCTGGGCTTCCACCTGCTGTATCCACGTGGCGCGAATGGTGGCCTGGGGCTGCTCAGTGACCGCTCCCACATGGTCCCGGCGCCGTAAGGCCCAGCTGAGGTGTTGGGGGCGTTATGGGCTGTGCATCTATCTCCACATCTGTGTTAGGATGGAGGACTCCCGCAGGTGGGAGGCTGCCTGTGGAGGGCAAGAAGCAGCCTGGGGACTGGCCCTGAACACTGAGGTGAGCAGACAGCAGGGGTGAAAGGCGTTTTGGAATGTCCAGGTTTTGCTAAGCAGCGTTGGACCAGATGGTGCGCTGTCTGCAGCCCCGGAGGAGGCAAAACCGGCCCGCTTTTACAGGCAAGCGAGAGCGAAAGGGACTCTGGGTGGGTTGAGAGGCGCTACCTCCCAGCCCTCCCCCACGCTGAGAGCGGGTAGAAGAGTTAATCCCACAGTGTGCCAGGTCCTGTTCTAGACTACGGAGACACAGCAAGGGACAAAATCTGCCCTCATGGAAATTACATACTTTTTAGTGGAATGCTTTTCACACAAGATTTCATTTCATTCTCACAGCCCTAGAAATTGGTTGTTCTAAGCAATATAGAGTCGGGACTTGAACCTGGTTCTGCCCCTGGAGGAAGTGATTCTGACACTCATGTGTTGTCTAGGTAGGAGGAACAGAACGGCTTATATTTGTGTTGTAAGCTCAACTTTTTAAGAGTTGGTAGAGTGTTGGCACTGGTGATAAACCTGTTTGCAGTCATGTGTGCACCTCTTACCTCCTTCACAGGGTTCTTGTGCGGATAGGTGAATTATTGTATGTCAAGTACATAAAATATTGCCTGGCACATGGAAAGTGCTACATAGGATTTAGCTATTACTGCTTCGTCTAGGTTTTGGGGCTTTGCCCCTCTTCCTACCAGCAGGCTTTCCAGTCCACTTAACATCACTGGAACGAAGGCGGATTTTCCCTGAATGGTCCTTAACTATTTATGCATTCAGCTAAAGTGTGTTTTTAAACATCTGCTCGCAGCATACCTTCTTCAGAACCTAGGAGAGAAAACTCAGTACAGAACCTTGATTAAGTAGATGCAAGATGAGTGCCTAATTCAGAGCATGCACTCCTACAATCTACTCGTCTCTAGCCTGTTTGTTCTTTTGTGAAAAAGGCAGGGCAGACTTCTCTTTCTGAGTTGTCTGGTGTCTAACATCATGGTTGCCTTGGAGTCAAAGGAGTGTACCTGGGCCTGCCTGTGTAATTATTAGTTTCATTGTCCAACTTTTTCTAGGTGGCTTTGGCACCAACCCTTGCCTATCTCAAGTGGTCTTTGTGTTTGGTCTTCTTGAGTCTGGCTGCCTTGATCTTCCTCTGATCGCAAGTACCAGCGATGATGTTTTGTTTTTCTTCCTACCCGGGGATCCAAACAGGGAAATACTAAGTACTTACCCCTCTTGCAAGAGGATACCCAGAAGGAGTTTGGAAGCCTGTTCTCTGAGCTCGGATACTGTTTGTCAGAGAAAATCAACTCTCTCTCTTTCTTTTTTTAAATAAACTATATCCCCAGCATAGGACTTGAACTCAAACCCCAACATCAAGAGTTGCATTCTCTACCAACTGAGCCAATCAGGTGCCCCAAAACTCAACTCTGTCTGAGAAGGATAACTTCAAGAGAGGTAATAGGTTGTTTCTTTTTTTTTTTTTTTTCTCTTTTCTCCCTCCTTCCCTCCTTTCCTTCCTTTCTTCCTTTCTTCCTCTCTCTGTCTCTCTCTTTCTTTCTTTTAGCCTGTAGTGGATGGAGGACCCATCTAAGTGACCCCAAGCCTTGTGGCCTTGGGAGAGTAGGCCCTAGCTATTGTCAGATTGTTGGACGGATAGACAGGACTGGAGCTGTGGTAAGCGCAGAGTTGTGTGTAATGTTCAGGAAGCTGACTCAATTGATGTGAATCTTTCTAAACATCAGTTTCTTCTTCGGTAAATTGATATCTTGGATCCTCACATCTTTGAGCTGTGATATCCTCCTATCCTATAAGCAAAGGGAATTTGTGGTCAGTCACCTGTTTGATTTCCAGCTCCCCCCTTGTTCCCAGTAGTGGAACCATATTCCTTCAGAACTGAGGCCACCCTGGACATGGTAGTGACCTCTTTAGGGAATACCAGATGTGGCTCATGTGGGAAGAGGGAGAATAACTGTTCTAGAGAAAACCTGGAGACCAGATAGGACTCACTATAGGAGGGGTAGACTATTTGCAGCTTCGTGACCCAAAGCCAGCTCTCCTGTAACCAAGACAGATTCTGAGTGACTTGAAAGAGTGACTTCCTTGATGCCCAGGGAGCCCAAGAATAAGATGAAATGCATTTCAGGCAGGCAGTAAGTATTTTTAGAGGGCCTGGGAGAGTTGCAGCATGAATCTTTCAATCTGCCAGGGGAGGCCAGCTTTATACAAATAACTGTACTTAACGAGAAAGTGATGATTACAAAGCCAAGTGTGTTACAAATGAGGATAAGATGCTATGAGGGTATATGATGCAAGGGTTTGAGTTTGCCCAGGAGTCATGGAACTGTGCCCACTGGGGGGGCAGCAGATGTGGGGAGAATTTTTTTTTTTTTAAAGATGTTATTTATTTATTTGACAGAGGTCACAAGTAGGCAGAGAGGCATGTTAGGGTGGGGGCGAACGCAGGCTCCTTGCTCAGCAGAGAGCCTGATGTGGGGCTTAATCCCAGGACCCTGAGATCGTGACCTGAGCCGAAGGCAGAGGCTTAACCCACTGAGCCACCCAGGTGCCTGGGAGAAATGTTTTAGACATAGAATTTAGATTTTGGGCGGGGAGGGTTTAAGATTTTATTTATTTATTTGAGAGTGTGCATGTGCATATGCAAGAGAGAGAGAGAGAAAGAGAAAGAATGAGCAGGGCAGAGGGAGAGGGAGAAGCAGACTCTGCTGACAAGGAGCCTGACCTGACGTAGGGCTCCATCCCAGAACCCTGGGATCCTGACCCAAGCTGAAGGCAAATGCTTAACCAACTGAGACACCCAGGTGCCCCTGGCCTTATGTTTTTTGTAAGACAGGAACTGGGCAACTCATATGCTGACCTCGGTAATGAGGGGAAAGTTTCTTGAATAGTTTAACAAATGATTACCCCTTCATGGTAGAAGTACTTCCTTTATGAAAGGCAGAGGACACTCCAGCGTTGGGTTGAGGGTGGAGAGAGATGTCCAAGGACAGACTGTGTGTGTTAAGAAGGAAGCATAGCATGTTCGGAACACCTGGGTGGCTCAGTCCGTGAAATGTCTGCTTTCAGCTCAGGTCATCATCCCAGGGTTTTAGGATTGAGCCCTGCTTTGGGGCTCGCTGCTCCATGGGGAGTCTGATTCTCCCTATGCACCTCCACCCCCGGCCTGTGCGCATGCGCATTCTCTCTCTCTCTCTCTCTCTCTCTCTCTCTCTCAAATAAATAAAATCTTTTGCTCTTTGCTGGCTTTCTCCAGCAGAGGGGCTGGAGCCCCAGCTTGGGGCTCTGTAATCCAAGGTACTGTGTGATCTGCCGGCCAGGCCGACAACTCCTTTTATTTTAGCCCCATGTAGAGTCAGGGAAGGTAAATTCTTGTCTCTCTCCCATTCCTGGGTTCAGTTGTGACTGCATGAAATAGCTTTGGTCTTTGAACCAGCCTGTAAGAGGCCAAGTCAGCCTGTCCCCAGAGGACAAAGCCCAGAGCTTTCCCTTGGGCTTTGCAGTGGAGTGAGAGAGGCCTAAGTCTAGCAGTGGACACTCGCTGTCTGGCTTCTGACTTCTTCAGAGGTTGCCACTCAGTGGTGGCCTCAGGGCCAGGGGAGGGTGCCATGAAGACTCCATGGGGGCCTCCTCTTCTCTCCTGGCTCCTTCCTCCTGGGAAATGACCCAACCTCAGCATGTCACTTGCTGAAGTCTCTCCCACCTTAACAACAACAAAAAAAATATAAATCAACTATCTCTCTCTTTACTGCATTTGTTGGCTCCTGAAGCCTCCTCCATCTCTGGTGGTTCTTTCTCATCTATTTGGGCTTCCTTTTTTGGGGGGCTGGCCTCTTAAATGTCGTGGTTTTCACTATGCCCTCAGCACTTTATTTTTCCCATTCTGTGTGTTCTCACTGGAAAACTTTCTCTGAAATGGCCTTGATGCCGCTGACTTGTTTTAATTCTAACTCAGATCTCTGTACTTTCTTTTTTTTTTTTTTTAAGATTTTTATTTATTTATTTGAGAGAGAGAGTGAAGGCCCGGGGAAAGGCAGAGAGAGAAGCAGACTCCTCGCTGAGCAGGGAGCCTGATGTGGGGCTCAATCCCAGGACCCCGAGATCATGTCCTAAGCTGAAGACAGACGCCTAAACACTGAGCCACCCAGGTGCCCCTCTGTACTTTTATTTATTTGTTTAGAAGATTTTATTCATATATTTGACAGAGAGAGAGAGACAGCGAGAAAGGAGACACAAGCAGGGGGAGTGGGGGAGGGAGAAGCAGGCTCTCCACTGAGCAGGGAGCCCAATGTGGGGCTCGATCCCAGGACCCCCGGATCATGACCCGAGCCTAGGACAGATGCTCAATGACTGAGCCACCCAGGTGCCCCTGTACTTTCTTTTAAGCCTAAGTATCCATGTGCTGACAAACTGGACCTCTCACTCAGCATATACTTGAATTCTTGGGCTAGGCACTGGAGTAGCAGTGGGGAGCAAAATGGACACATTCCCTGGGTCCGAGGAGCTTATGACCTAGAGGGGATGGTCAGTGTTCATTAAAATAAAACCACAGAGTGTTAGGACAAACTGGCACAGCTCTGAGGGCTGTGACCCTGAGAGGGCTTAAGCCGAGCACCTGATCTAGTAGATGGGGGAGAGAGAGGGGCCAAGGGTCCTTCAAAGGATTCCCTGAGGA